GGCAGGCCCTGGCACAGCAGCTGGGGCTGTCCCTGGATCCCTGGCAGTGCCCAAGGCCAGGCTGGATGGGCTTGGAGCAGCCTGGCATGGTGGAAGGTGTCCCTGCCATGGCAAGGACGTGGAATCAGCTGATCCTTAAATTCCCTTCCAACCAAACCATTCCATGATCCTATACTTTATAAAGATTTCAGACCAACGTGCATCTTAGTCCATTAGGCTTTATAAAGTGAGTTTGAAAAGCTACTCAAGGCTCTGTGGGCAGGAATTGTAGCAAAATTTTTTTTGGTGACTTATTTTTAAGTTCTCAGTATCTTCAGGATAATCCAACTCTCACCCTTGTTGAGTTTAATACAAAACTTAAGAATGCATCAGCCAAGGTCTTTCCAAGCTTAAAACTTCCCTTGCTTTCCAGAAAACAAGTCGATGAAACGTGAACTCAAGGACAAACACAAGATATTTGAACATATCAATAAGAGAAGCTCAAGTGAGCCAGAAATACTTTTCAATTACTAGCAAAAAGAACAATATGCACTTTAGTCCCATCTGAAATCCGTTTTCCATTTGGGAATGGTATTTCCACCCCAATTTGTCCCATGCATGACATTTCTTAGATGTGAAATTTCATTTGCGCTGTACAAACCACAACTTTAAAAATGAGCCTGGAATAAATAGAACACAACACTCAAAGAGCAAAGAAAGGAAGATGGGGTTCAGGAAACAGCAAGAGACAGGTTCTGCCCTCTGCAGAGCAGATGTGTGGTTTTCCTTTCCAGATATAAAATGTGAGAAAGCCTTAGAAATGGTACAAAAATTGAATATACAACGCGCAGTACAAACTGAAGTTGCCTAATTAAAATAGGCTTCAGAAATAAAAACTGATACAAGCAGAGCACGTTCAACTGAGAATTCATAATTTCCAACTATTAGCTATCTCAGGTGTTTAATTCTGAGGATTTTAGCCTGAGGCATCTTTGGGGAGCTGCTGGAAGCTCTCCTGCAGCGTTGGTGTGAAGGGAGCTTGGAGAAGCTTCCGTGGTTTCGCTGCTGGTGGCACTGACTGGCTGATCAGCACCAGCACGAGGAAGGGATGTCCAAGCTCACTTCCCCCTCAAGCTGCAGGGAGCTGGCAGAAACCGTCCCCAAAAAATTCCTGGGGATGCCTTGAGCCACCCAGACCTTTGTGTGGTCATGAATGCTGCATTTACAATGGAATTCCAAACGCTGAGGGATGCAACAAAAAAGTTTGCCTACAGTACAAAAATCTCCGACAGCAAATAAGCTTGGGATCTTTTCCTAGAACCAAAACAAGAGGATTATTGATTCCTAGTAGAAAGCTCAGCTCTGACCAGCTGGGTAAGATAGCACAGAGTAGTTCTGAGTTAGTGATTTTATTAAAGATTGCATATGGCAAGTTCACAGTTCATTCTTCTGGCAGTGCACATGCACGTAACGAAAGAAAATATAAAACTTTGGAAAATACAAAATAAATTAAATACATGCAAATCTGCAACTTCATTAAATATGTTTAGCAAAATGCTTCCCCAAAATAGTGCAACATTAAAAAAAAAAAAAACAAACAAAACCCAAAAAACAGTTAAATTAAGTTCAACTTACTTTGCAACACCCTAATTTCAGTAGAAAAAAATATCTAAAGTCAACTCACAATCTTCCAAAACGCTCTACGGAACTGAAGAGTTCTACACCTACACGTTCAGAAATTTAAAAAAAAAAAAAAAATCCCAATCAATCTCAAATGAAAGAAGAGCAAACGTCTGCAAAAGAAGACCAGAGGGCTACGCTCGGCTGGAGCCTTCCTGGAATTCCAGCTTCCTGGAATCCCGGCTTCCTGGAGTCCCACCTGCCCCAGGAGATGAGGAAGAGGAGGAGGAGGAGGAGGAGGAGGAGCAGCACCTTCTGCCTGCCAGCAGAACCTTCCCAGAGCAATTCCAGTGCCCCCTTGCTGGGAAGATGGAAATTTGCTTTTCCTTCCCTCTGGACCTTGCACAGGATGAGAGGATGCAGCGGATTAAAAAGACATTCCCTTCCCGTGGAAATGTGCTCCTCACATCCCAGCAAAAAAATTCCCAGATTTGTTCTGCTGGAGTGTACAACTCTCACCTCCTTTAGGATTTTTTTTTTAAGGAAGGGTTTGGGGGATTTTATTTTCCTTTGTTCTGGTAGGGGACTGTACCCTCCGGGATCTGAATTCCGGTGAGAACAGATCAGGGCTTGTCTGGGGAAAGGGGGAGGGAGGGAGGGGGGAGATGCTCGTCAGCTTTTCCAAGGCAAGATTTCCACAGCATTCTGAAATCCTTCAAAAATTCCTAGGGAGCAACTCTTACAAACACGTGGCTGAGCCATGCCACTCCAGGAAAACCCACCACTGTAGGGAGAACTACAAGGGAATAGGAGCTTAATTTCCAAACAGGTCACACAGATAAATTCATGGAACTACCAAACTTCAAATCCTACGTCTATACTAACAGATTTCTCTGCATCCCGTTTGTTCTTTACCAGGTACTGCAATAAAGGTTATTTTATACAGTCCAAAGATTTTTTTTTTTTTTTTCCTTTAAATCAGGATATTACAAATGGTTCTTTGGGGAAATTTCCTTCTGAAAATGTTAAGCAGTAAAATTAAACCACATAGCAGCACATTTTCATCCCCTAAAAATATAAAACAATATGTATATTATACAGGAAATCAGTCATGACAGAGCACAATCACCTGCCTTTGATGGCACTTGGTCATTGAATAATTAATTCCTTGATGCCAGAAGTCGGGAATTACCGATGCCAACGGGAGGACTCGGAGGAAAGAAAAATTAAAAAATCATCGCTCTGAGTGGAGAAGCCCCAACCTAAGCAGCGCCCAAGGGGTCGTGGAATTCGGAGTGGCAGACTCCCTCTCATCCTTGCTGAGGTGGGGATGTTCCAGACAGGGATCTGGAGGAGCTGAGCTGGACACTTCTGCACACGTGGAGATCCTACGAAGCTCGGAGTACCTGCAGCGGGGCGTCGCCGTGGGGAGCGCACGATGGACAGGACGTGGGCCGGGTCGGAGAGGGGCAAAAAAGAAACTAATGTGACTTAATGACAGTCCTTAACATGCTAAGTGGAACTGACCTGCCAGGGAGAGAGAGAGAAAGGCAAGGGAAATTAGTGGATTTGGGGGATTGGAAAGCAGAGAGCCCGTACCGGGTGGGCAGCAAGCAAAGATCTGCAGTCGTGATTAAAAAATGATGGAGGTTGGGTGTCACAAAATGAGCCAGCTCTCCTGATGGGATTCACTCTCTGCCACCTGCAGCCTGGAATTATGTCTCACCCAAACGCTGTGGGAAATGGATGTGTGGAAAATTCTCAACAAGTGTTACAGTTCACACCCTCACAATCCAAAACCCAACTATTTCCTAACTACAACACACTAGAAATGTTTCTTGGCCTATCAGCTTTTACCACACCATGCTGTAAATGCCCTAAAGCCAATCTAAAATTACCCCTCCTGAGTCCTACCACAATACATCTTTCATGGCTCTATTTCTCCAAAATATCTAATCTTTTTTACAAAACCATCCTTTGAAACTTATTTCTAGTTCAATTTTTCTCTCAGTAATACCTGTCTTATTCCATGGTGTTTCTAAGTCAACATTTCTTATCTCAAAGTTTACATACAGATACACACTCAAAGTTTACATACTGATACTCACTGTGTGAGCCTTCTATCAAGTTTTAAGAATTTTCAACAAATCCACTTCCCATAAACACCATCTAAAGGTTTAATTTCCTCCCCCCTTTAGTTTTCTGTTCCTTTCATGGGATTTTTCTCTTGGCTCATTAGATGTACTGAAGAGCTGGTGCGTGTTTATCTCATGTAATAAGGGGGGAAAGTAACAGCAGCAGAATTTGAAAATTATAAAATCAAAAGGATGAAGAAATACAAATTCAGACCAATCCGTCTGTTCCCTGTCTTCTGACAGAGATATTTTCCTGATATATAAACACATATATAAAATAAGTGTTTACAGAAACACCTGAAGTATTTTATATATAATATAATGATAATATTATAAAAATATACTCTATAATTTTATATATGCACATTATACAAGCACATTTTATTAAAACCCACATTTCTTTCTCTTCCATCTGCTGGGTTAATCAATCATAACCACTGACCAGTCTAACAGCACTAAGTGTCTTTTATCTCTATGGTGAATAATGAATGAACACAAGATAAATCTCTCCTCAGCAAATATTGAAATAGGAACCTCAGTTTTATATCTCTGCTGTTAAATGACTATAAAAGAGAGTTTTGTTCTGGTGCCAGCTGGGTAGATCTGCCCCATTCCAAATCACTTTCTGCAGAGCCCAGGAATGTCTCAACAATAATCAGAAATAATCTGGATGAAATTCTCCCTACACTGGCAGCACCTTTACTAACACCCTTACTCAGACCCCTGGGTTTCCATCCAAGCTCAGAATTCAGATTACTCAGATACTCCCAATTTTGGCAGCCAAATAGTTGGAATTTGCCAATAAAATTCTTAACCAAAGGACCAAAACTGAGGAGAACTGACCTTCTCCAATCACTTTCCAGCCTTCCTGGACTACACCTTCCACACTTATTTCTGGATGTGAGCAAAAAACCAAGAACACGCTGTTGAAATGGTTTCATTCCAACCTCTAGGGCTGCCATTTGGTTTTCAGATTTTTCCTAGTTTTTTTCCAGAAACCCCAAGCCCATAACTTTATCCAGTTTCCTCTGAGATCTTCCATCTTCTTTTTCTCCAGCCTCATTTTCCCTGGTGCTTCTCTGCAACATGGCCTGAACCTGCTCATCTCCACAGCCCTCAAACCTAAACCTCAGCTAAATCCAAAATACCTAAAATCTGAAATACCTGGTGAGTATTTTATGCCTCCTGATTGCTTTTTCTTGACTTCCACAATCCTGCCTTGTTCTTGCAAACCCGCCTAGTTTGAAGTGTGGTTATTTTATGAATACCTTTTATTAATCTATAGTTATTCACTTGACAGCTGTGGCCTGTTTGAGTCTGACTCTTCATTTCCCTGCAGCTGGTAAATTAAAGGTGCATTTATTTGAGGCAGGTGGCAGCTTTTTCCCCCTCAGAGCAGCTGTTAGAAGAAATGTTTAGAAATCTTTGACAAGGCTCTGTACCCCACTCTTTGCCAGGTCACAGAGGTGGGAATGCAATGAAGCAGATGGACAGAGGCACCTCACTCCTGAGGTGGAAAAGCCAATTTCAGACCAGAATGGACAAAACCTCTCAGCAAGGCCTTGCCCTAATTTATCCACAGAGGAAATATTTGTTGCTGGAAGCTCATGGCAAACACAATGAGCAGGAACAATCCCCCAGCACAATAACAGCTTGAGTGTGGCGTGATGGATGCTTGGTATGCAAGCCTGACATGAAACGCTCCCAAAAAAAAAGCTAAAAACACCCAAGAATGCCTCAAGGAGACCACAGACCATGAAGAGAGTTGTGAGACAGAATTAATCCTCAAGGAAGGCAAAAAGCCAGACTTGGAGGGACAAGTTTGCTGTCCCCAGGCTGCTTTTCACAGCCACTCGCTGCCACCCAGCTCTTGGCATGTCTGTGGCATAAAGTGATCATCTAAAATAATTCAGATATGGAATCTCTCCAGTAAGCATTTATTTATATTATAATATATATATAATATTTAGAAAATCTCTCCAATGAGCATTTAAAGAAAGAAATGGCAGGATGGAGTCCATGGAATAGACTCCTGGGAATATGCTGCTCATCTTTTGCTTTGGAGAAACTTTCAAGCCCTGGCAATTAAAGTAAAATATTTAGGGTTTTTTTAATTTTCATGAAGAGAACTAAGAGTTCCAAGTGTGCCAAATGGTGACACTCAAATTTGGAGATGTCTGTTGCTGCCACTGAAAGCTGCTCTACCCCTATCCCAGGCTGGAATATCCCAACATGGAAACACATCCATGGCACAGAAAGCAGAAGGTGATGCTGGCAGAAAGAACCTCTGAGGTATGAAACTACATGAGTTTCATACCTCTGTGTGTGAATTTCAGTCCAGATTTACCAGAGCAGTTTTTTAAAAACTCAGAAGTGCTAAGTCATTAAAATAAAACCTCTCCTCAGCAGCTGGCAAAGCCTCTTAACGGGCACTCAATCAACAAGTATTGTAATTATCAGCAAACAACTACCAAAGATAGAAAAATAATTACTGTAAGTCTCCTAAAAGCAAGATGAAATATAAGGGAACTGAGTGATCAGTGGGAGAAGAGGTGAGTGAGTTACTCTGGCCTTACCTCTCGTTTATTTGGTGTTGTGGTAGTAGCTGGAGTTGGACATGCCTCCCCCTCGGATGGTGTGGACGGCCGTCGGAGAAGACGCTGGGTAGTGACCAGGGCGGATGGGCTTGGCTGCACAGGGCAAGGAGGGACCAAACAGGACATGTCAGCTTTCCCATTTTAGCTTCTCACCTCCCCTTCTCCTCCAATTGTTTCCCAACTCAGTGGTTTCTGATCCAGCTGTGCAGAACATAGCACTCCCTGCTTTGGCCAACAACAAATATACCCATTTTCCTGCTGGCAGATCCCTTTTCCTGCTGGCAGAGCCCTTCCACCTTCCCATGCATTGGATCTGCAAAGATTCTGGACTGTCCAACAACAGAGGGAAGTGACTTGCTGGGCAGTGAGGCACTTTTTATGTCCAATTTACACCACTCCAGAAGATGGCAAGACAAAGCTTGGATGGCTCCCGACAAGAGGAAGCATTCAGGAGGTGACACTTTGTGCTGTGTGATTCTCCCTCAGGATTTAATACCCCAATATTGTCATCTCCATCTAAACCATTATCCTGTTTAATCCCAACAAATCATTCCAAGAATTGCCCCATTCCTCTGTTGTGTGCACGCACTGCATTGTGCCTTGGAGATACATCAATATCTGAAGTACAAAGGAAGATTTTCTGGAATTAAATCACATGGAGGAGTAATCAGGGGGAAAAAAGAGAAATGGACAAGGTCCAGAAAGGCAAGGAAAGAATGAAAGCAGAGAGGGAGCATGTAGGGGGAGGAGGAGGAAGAAAGTGAGCGACTAATTTAAGGAGACAAGTTTTCAGGTCACTAGAAGGGCACACAAGACCCATTATGCCCTTTATTTACCCAGTGGAACTGCAGAGCCTCTTTAAACTCAAGGTGGGGCAAATTCCATGAAAATACAAGGCCTTTGAAAATTCCTGCGCAGCAGAGGAGAAGCAGCCCCTATGTTTTATGTTCTACTCCCTCCCCTCAAGCCCCAGCAACCAGCCTGAGCCTGAAGCACGTGGGCAGCCCCTTTAGCTCCATGTCCTCACCAATTTGGGCAGAGTGTGCTCTCCGGGCCATGTTTTTGGCTCTCACGGCCTCCTTAATGCGATCCACCTCCTGCTGGTAGCGCTTGCGGTCGCGCATGGCGTTCTCCTTGGCCTCCTTCAGTGCACTCTCCAGGGCCTTAACTCTCTCTGCCGTAGCTCGAAGGCGTTTCTCCAGCTTAGGAAGCTCGCAACGAAGATCTGCATTATCACGTACCAGCTGCGGGGAAAGCGGTGCAAAATTAATGGAGGTAAAAAGAAAGTGGTGAAAATCTCCTCAGAAAAATGGTGGGAAAAGTCCCCTCACAAGGAGAGAGGAAATGCCACTGGTTGCTCTCCATGCCAGATGTAGTAAAATTAAACAGATTTCTTCTAGAAATTGATGTAAAAATCTTAGTTTAAAGAGAAATGTAGATTGTCCTGAGCTGGCATGGACCCACAAGGTCAAAAGAAACTGGCAAAAATCTCCTCAGAGAAATGGTGGGAAAAGTCACCTTACAAGGAAAAAGAAAACATCACCAGTTGCTCTACATATGTTATGTACTAAAATTAAATAGATTTCTTCTAGAAATTAATGTAAAAATCTTAGGTTAAAGAGAAATTTAGAATGTCCTGAGCTGGAATGGACCCATAAGATCAAAAGAAAGTGATAAAAATCTCCTCAGAAAAATGGTGGGAGAAGTTGCCTCACGAGCAGAGAGAAAATGCCACTATGCTCTCCATATGTCACGTACTAAAATTAAACAGATTTATTCCAAAAATTCTTGTGAAAAGCTTAGGTTAAAGAGAAATTTAGAATGTCCTGAGCTGGAATGGACCCAAAAGGTCAAAAGAAAGTGACAAAAATCTCCTCAGAGAAATGGCGGGAAAAGTCCCCTCATGAGGAGAGAGGAAATGCCACTGGTTGCTCTCCATGCCAGGTATAGTAAAATTAAATAGATTTCTTCTAGAAATTAATGTAAAAATTCTCTACATATCAAAAACTGCAGCAGAAACTCTACATTTCCTCAGCGCACAGAAATCTCCAGGATTGTGCAAATCCTTGATCACCTCATTATTTTAAAATAATAATGCCTGAATATGTCTTACAGACATCACCAGGGATCACCCCAAATTCATCATTTCCAGTGGCTCTGATGTGTTCACCTGTGTGTTCCCTACTCAGCCATGTTGGAAAACTGGGAACCTCACTAAGAAATCACTTTTAGGCCTATAACTACAAATATAATGATTATGTGCAACTTTGAATTTATGCACTTCCTCAGTCTAACATGAACCTGAGCGAGGTGTATCAATTATACAAATCACATCTGACCTCTCATGCACAACAGCCAAGAGAGGATTGATTTTTAATAAACACAAAACTGATGCAAACGGGCAGAAAAATCCAGCCCAGTTTCCACTGAACAGATTACACCACTGCTGGAAGTCAACAGAAACCTGCTCCAAAGGAGTGACTCTCCCTCTTCTGGAGAGTAAAATGGATTAACAACCACATTAATAATGCAGCAAAGCAACAGCATGTCCTGACATTCACACGTTGTTTAACAATCAGAGCATTTTACACCTGCTGGGCCAGGCTTAGTGCTGGAGAAAAACACAAATAAGCTAAAAAAACATTGTCACAATGTGCTTTTTCTGCAAGTGCTGAACCCTTGTTGTGTGAAATAGTTATGATACAAAATTCAAGCAGGGTGGTATCAAGTCCAATGTCACTTTTCTTTGCAAGTTTCCTACAAGATGTGGATTCCAAGTTGATTTTGAGTAAATACACACTAATGAGAGCTATAAAAATCCGCATTTGAAACCCAGCAGATGCATGAAACGAGTGCAAAAAAAAGGCAAAATGGTAAAAAGAAAAACCACTCTGAACATGTCCCAGTTTCCACATTTAGAAAGTAGGTCTTGAAACCATCTGTTCCCTGGGAATCTGAAAACCCCAAACTTTAGCAGACACTTGTCACAGTCCAGCACTTGCTGCTCTTTGGGCACTTCCACAGGAGTAATAAAAGCAGATTTGGGAGTGTGGGTCACTAACAGAGCTTTGAGAGAGTGCAGTGCACAGTGTAATGCCACTGCTCAAAAAAAGAAATTAAAACAGCTTTAGTGCTTAGTGGTGTGCACCTGAAGGGTGGCACACAGCTCCAGCATAGTGGGAGAGGAGATTTTAGGGAGAAATTATTCCTGGGAGGGTGGGCAGGCCCAGAGAAGCTGAGGCTGCCCCTGGATCCCTGGAAGTGCCCAAGACCAGGCTGGAATAACCTGGGATAGTGGAAGGTGTGGGACATGGCAGGAATGGGACTTGATGGGCTTTAATTCCACATCAGGGATTGCATGAAACTGGAATTCCACGAAGGAGGGAAGACACACAAATGCACAAGCCCAAAAATTACCAACCTCAGCACCCCAGGGAGGCACCAGCCCTTCAGCTGCCCAGAAAACCCCAATTCCATTGTTTTCATTGAAAACTCTGCTGGTTGAATCCACTCCAACCACCTCCAAGGTGCCTCTGGGCAGCTTCAGGCCAGGAGTCAAATTGGGGATGCACAATCCATCCAGAAAACAAGCTATTTTTATGTATTTCCTAGTGCCAAAACAGATCTATTTTCACAGGAAAAAAAATTGTTCTTATTTACCACGTTCCTAGAAGTACAGAGAGTGGGAAGAGCAGCTCTAGCTCCTAATTCCAAGGAGTTTAGTGGCACCTTTTCCTCAGACAGCACGGGTTACCTCCCAAAATTACTCTTGCAAGTATTGAAAAAGTGCAAGTTTTGATGAAGGGATGGAAGGAAAGGAGGAAAAGGAGGAAGAAGGGAAAGGAGGAAGGAGGACAGGAGGGATAGGAGTGAAAGGGGGCAAAGGGCAGAGGAGGGAAGGAGAGAAAGGAAGGAGGAAAGAGGGGAAAAAAGGAGGGAAAAAAGGAGAGAAAAAAGGAGGGAGAAAGGAGGGAAAAAAAGGAGGGAAAGGAAGGAGGGAAAGGAAGGAGGGAAAAAAGAAGGGGAAAAAAGGAGAGGAAAAAAGGAGGGGAAAAAAGGAGGGGAAAAAAGAAGGGGAAAAAGGAGGGGAAAAAAGGAGGGGAAAAAAGGAGGGGAAAAAAGGAGGGGAAAAAAGGAGGGGAAAATGGAGGGAAAAAAAGGAGAGAAAAAAAGGAGAGAAAAAAAGGAGAGAAAAAAAGGAGGGGAAAAGGAGGAAAAAAAGAAGGGAAAAAAGGAGGGAGAAAAGGAGGGGAAAAAAGGAGGAAAAAAAAGAAGAAAAAAAGGAAGGAAAATGAGCCTTTACCTGTTTGTGAACCTTTGTAAGTTGTTCCAGGTTGTTCTCAAGAAAGGAAATTTTCTGCTTCTGCGCAACGCTTCCACCTCCATCATCACTATCCAGTTCAACACTCTGCACATAAAATTGCAGCACTCAGCAAAGCCAGGCACAAACTCAAGGGGAAGCTCAGCTCTTTGGGAAATTTGGGCTCCCCAAAGGCAGAAAAGTCTTACAGAGCTCCAAATTTAAGAGAAATTATTTTAACTCTTTGTTTGATATTTAGGAATTGCATTTCCCCTTACATAAAAAAAAAACCCAAACTATTTTTACTGAACAATTATGAGGGAATCCTGAATAGGAAAATCAGGTTATACTAAATAATTTCTGAAGCTCATCATCTTTGAGAATTTTGTAGCTGAACTGCACAGGATAAATTCACTTCCCTCACCATTTTCCTTATCTAATTAGGACCAAATAAAAGCTGATAAACATCAGAACAGCTTTAATCTCGTTTCTCACTGCTACTAAAAAAGACATTATCCCATTTTGTAAATGCATGCACTAAAGGCTTCCAGCAAATCACAAGAATACTGCACATAAAGGAGAAGATTTGGGTTTAAAAGAGCAGAGTTTTACTTTTTTAACACGGGTGGTAAGATCCTGGACAAACAGCTTGCGCAGATTGTGAAGAGTCTGAAGCTCCCTTGCCTGGAATAAAAACAACAAAACAATAATTTTTAAAAAAGCACAAATTACTAGGATATAGTAGATGCTCTGGTGTGAAAGTTCTCCTTGGATTTGAGTTGGTAAGAGGAGAAAAGAACTCTGGATTTTCTCTCTAGGAATAACTCTGAATGCACAAAATAAACCCCAGCCAGCCCCAAAACCAAAGTGAAGAGAACAATTTCTCCAAAATAAATTGTTAAATTGATAAACCTTTTAAAATTTTAATTTAGGTAGTTCAAAGCTGTTTACTCAAAAATTAAAATATATATCACCACGGTATACAGATAGGGGAAAAAGCTGAATAAAGTGTAATTAAGACTTACCACTGTTTCCTCCAGCCCTTTAAGGTCTTCTCTTGCTTGTTCCCTTTTATCATTAAGGAGTCTGGAAAGATCACAACATGGAACACAAATCAATCCAAATAAACTGAGGAGAATCAACAGCATCCCCCTGGAGCTGCACATCTGCAGGTGGCAGCAAATTGCACATCTCTAATTATGCTTTTGATTGCCCCAAATATCCAATTTTATCACCTGGAAGGGCTGAGTCACCACTTCCATCTTTGTGTCCACACATGGGATTTTTCTCTCTCATTTCCAGGAAAGGCTTTTTACTCAAAACATCTGATTTAAAGCCCCCAAAAAATCAACAAACCCCACCAAAAATTCCCAACTTCTCTCATGCTTGTTTTGCTGTGTATTAAGGAATGAGAGATTTGAGACTTGCTGGGATATTTTATAAAATCAGAGCTCTAATGAACTCTTTCTGGTAGTTATCAAAGCCACTATTAAAAAACCTGTGATATAAAAATAGAGTAATTGGTAATTATTTATTAGTAGCTCCTGCTGGCTTTCCTACTAAAATGATCTTTTCAGTGTGAATATTCCAGCAGAAATCCCTCTCTCTAGCATATTTTTCAACATAATGATTTTCAGGGATACCAAACTGTGCACTTACATGAGCTTTTCCAGTTTCATTTCTCTTTCCTGGTCCTCAATTTTTAATTTATCATAATCAGCACTCAGCTTCTCCTGTTCCAGCTGCAGCTTCTGGTTCATGCTGGAAATGAGAAAGGAAAAGTCAGCCCAGCTCAGGAGGAAGGGAGGGAAAATCTCCACAAACAAAATGGGACTGGGCAGAGGAGAAGTAAAGCTGTAACTCTCTACTGAAAAACTTGGGAAGAAATGAAGCATCAAGAACCTGGAGGACGTTATTTTAAAATATTGGAGGGCTAAATTCAGTGGTTTGGTTTGTTTGCCTTAGAGGAGGACCCAAATTGTTGTTGGCATCTTTCTGCCTTGCTTCCTCATTTCCCTACAATTAATCTTTGGCCATACAGAATAATATGATAAAAGAATGCCTAGATTTTAGAAAAATAAGAACATAGGAGCAAAGCACAACAGAGTCACATTGGTGTGTGAGGAAAAAATATAAAAATGTGTGAAAATGGGAGCTGTTGGAGTCAGCCAGCCTCTCAGAAGGTCTGGGGCAGGACTGGATGCTGTGAGAATCTCAAAACCTTCAGTGGTGGCTGAACTCGATGACCTTAAATGATTTTCCAACCCAAATAATTCCATGATCCTTTAAAACCTGTTCTCCTCCAAGCTCCTCTCACCTCCTGACCTGCAGGTGCAACATCACCCTTCTTTATAAACTCCCTGTGATTTTATGGCCTTGTTAAAGCTCCCCAATAAAGAATTAGGCACTGTAATCCACCCTGCAAAATAATTACAGGGTTGGGTGCTGCATGTAAGGGCAGAACTTGCAAAGAAACATCAATCAAAGCTAAGAAAAGGAAGCCCAAAGCATCCCAGGCCAGAGGAGGGGTGCAGAGGGTGAACTCACTCCCTGATTTCATCGATTATTTTCTGCTTCTCTTCGATCTCATCCCTCAGCCTGGACAGCTGCTTCTGGTGGGCTTCCCTGTGGCTCTCCATCTGCTGCTCCAGCGCCTTCTGCAGACACAGGGTGGGAATCAGAGCAGCCCAGGTATTGGAATATCAATCCCAGTATTACCAGTTGGATTGTGCCTGGGCCAGTCTGACCCTCGCTGCTGCTGTGCTGTATCACCCCAGAGACACCTTTGGCTTGCTGGTGGTTGCAGCCGGGCACTAAACAAGTCCAGGCTTGTTAGGAACTCCGTTTACCTCAGGAGGAAAGCTTCAGGCGATGGTGAAGAGAGAAAAAGGAGAGGATTCTGCTGGAGGGTTACATCCAGAGGTTTATTCCATGGTTACTGAGGTCTGAATCTTAGGAACAGCTCCAACAGAATATCAACCACATGGCCT